TTTTGTAGAGCAGTTTCTGTCACTAATCTAATTTTCATTCTGGCTCAGCATGGTACCTCTCCCAAAGGTTTACCTTTTTTAATTCATGCTGAATTTTTATCTTTCAAGATCAACAAATAGTAAATAGAGCTAAATGTGCAAATAATTGCATCCAAGTTGTATATCTCCATTATGGATTTAAATCTGAGTACATTGCACGGAAGTGCTGGCATTTCACGTGGAGGTACAGAGAGAGAAGATGTGGTAGGAAAAGTAAACTGGACAAAAAAGAGCAGGTGAGAAACAGGGGATAGGGAGAGGAATCGGAGAAGGTGTGGGGCGGGAATAGAGGGACACGTACCTGGAAGAAAGATGTCCATCTCTGCTAGTATAATTTTTTTCTGCCAAGCCGTATTTGTGGCCTGGGCTGCCCATGAGGCTTTAAATAATCTTATTGATAATTATTTTACCTATCAAATCATCAGATGTTACCACTAAAACAGCATTTGTATATAACATACCTTTATCAATATATGTAAGTAGTGCAGTCACTTGAGTTGCATCAAATATGTTGCAAAGGTAGCAGAGAGGGCCTTCCTTAAATCTTTGGTGCTTTCTTGTAGCTTTTTCTTATCATTGTTATAGTTGGGTTTTTAGAAAACAAGTATGTTTTGTTTCAATATCATATCACTGGCACCCTTTCTGTGTTAAAAATGCTGCCTGTCATAACACACATTTTTTTAACTGATTTAATTTTTTACAAGTTGGAAAGCTTTGCTCCAATATGCCATGTATGTGTCAAAATTAGGAGGACAAAAATGGCTCGCACAAAAAATAAATAAGGAAATAAATGCATGAAATAATAAGAATTATTTTCTGCCTCATTTATACTAGTTATTGCTTTAAAATTAAGTAGGAAAGATTGTAATACATGGATTTTAGAAATGAGCCCCAAATTCAATAGAAGCAAAGTCGTTTAGCAGTTATAATAGAAAAAAAATCACAAATCGTTGGTCCAGATGGAAGGAACTAGTGTAATGTAGCATCCTACAGTGTCCACTTTCAAGATGTCATCACAACTGGCACTAACTAGTGTCTTCTTCAGTAATCTCAGTAGACTGATTAAGTAGGGAAATTAAGGACAGGAAATTCTTCCCATCTTCCCACTCTTTCTTCCCAGTTGGTGTTCCTACTCATTACGCTAATAGGCAGTCTTCTCTTACTGTCATATGCCAGCCTGGAGACAGACTCTAACATATCTGGTGAACAATTGCTCTTTTTGTTCTGCTGGATCTTTACTGACATTATGGTGTATGGATTGTTAATTGCAATGGCTCTGGACTAAGTGAGATCTCTAATAAAGCTGAAAATGGCTCTGTGCTTTACAACTGTACTGTAAGTGAAAACATCGCTGTGTAGCGATGTGAAATCACTGTGTGATTTCCAGGGATTTGCACTTCAGCAGATGATACAAAAACTGGCAGCAAGGCACAAAGCCTCTCTGCAAGGAGGACCAAAGGCACCAGCGTTTCCTCAAGGCCCGTGCAGCTTCTGGAGGATTCTTGTATCTTTTGTGATGTGGTTTGGCTCTGGACAGAAGCAATAGAGAGAAGAGGTATACATACTTAAGTGCCCAATCCATAATCTCCTTAAATTCTCAGTCCTAATTATTTAAATGAACATTGGATTAGGACCAAATTGATTCCTTATCAAACATGAGTTGAGTCTTCTCATAACTTTGTGCTTATTACATATGGAAAATTGTCTATTTTTCCATCAACTGTCGACAGATGATGATAGCTTCTAGTTTGCTATGTTGTCTTTTATCAATCTGTTTAAAGCAGGTGACTGAATATAATTTCAGATGTATGCATAAACGGTCTTATATCCAAAAGAATCCCATGCCAAGGCATCATGTGCAATGGGGTAAAACTCTGAATATGGCACAGCTTGGCCACACACGGATTAAAACCCCAAACTGAAGAGAGTCCGTGTTATAAAAATCATTGACTCCACATGCTTGTACACCATTTTCTTCTTTACAGTTGTATCTAGAAGCCAAGAACTGATGGCGTAGACAGGTGGAAGAAACCATGCTTTTAGCCACTTGCTTGGATTCTTAGATTACAACAGTACTACTTAGGAACGAGTATGTACCTAACGTAAGTGCTATGTAACTAGCCATTAGCCTCATAGAAGAGTGAGGCTTTAATTCCTGTTCTGTAGGTAATTGAGATGTAGTAGTGTTTGTGTTTCTGGCAGATTACCGGCTCTGAATCACGGAAGACTCCCACACACCCCACACACCCCCACGCTTTTCTGGACCCCCGAGGCAGGTCCCAGCTGGCCACAGCTGGCAGGGGAACTGAGGCCTTCCCAAACAGGGAAGGCCCCAAGCCTTTCCCAACCAGTTCCTGCTGGGGAGAAACACGTCGGTGTGGCGTGGTGCTGACCATACCCCTGTGCCTGCGGGAGGACAGCACAGCGGGGCCGGAGCGCCTCCAGCTGCTCCCGCGGCGGAGGGGAAGCGGCCGGGCCGCGGCCGGGGCTCCTCAGGCGGAACGGCCGGGAGTCGCGTGCCTTATTCAGCCCTCTGATTGGTCGCTGCCAGAGGAGAGCGCTTGTGACTGGAGGGGCGACTGGGTAGTTGGCCATTGGTCAGCCTCCCTGAGGTAACTCGGATTCCGATTGGCGGAGGGATCGTTCCTGCTTGTTGATTGGCTGGGAGGCAGCGCGGTGGTCTTTCCCGTTCCGGTGGGCGCTGACCTTGCCCGGGAGCGGAGCCGCCCGTTCGCCCCTGTCTCTCTGGGAGCCGCGGCCCGCAGCCATGGTGGCGTACTGGCGGCAGGCCGGGCTCAGGTACCCGCCTGGCGTCGACAGGGCTCCTCTCGCGGCTTCCTTGCGATAGCTGTAACGGCCGGAGGCGAGGGCCACGCGGGGCGGGCTGGCGGGGTCACAGCGGTGCCTCTGGAGGGGGTGGAGGAGCTTTTGGGACGCGTTTGAGTCTCACCTTCGCTCTCGCCCCGCTTTTCTCTCCTGTCTGTAGTTACATCCGGTATTCCCAGATCTGCGCCCAGGTTGTTAGGGCGGCAATGAAGCCTCAGTACAAAGCAGAGGCAGAGAGGGCAGCAATGGCCACTGTGAAAACTGTGAAACCCAAGAAGGAATAAAACGTAAGTAAATTGAATGGGCTGGGGTGCCTTACTGTAGCTTTTCATACGAGGAGTGTTGGTTTCCCAGTGTGAGTCGGGCTAATGACAGTCTGTAACTGCTTGGCTCATTTCGTGCTATGCGTGGAAAATGGGCTCTGATCTTCACACGTGAAGCTGGAGCGGATTAGTGACTGGTTTAGTCCAACTGCGTGCGGATGCCTCTGCATCCTGATTACGTCTGGGATAGGAGTCTGCATAATCTCATTAGTTCAGTAAAATAAGATGTTCTCTCCATCTGCTTTGAACGATTTGGGGGTTGGTCGGAGGTGTTATGGACCTATGCAAAACAGCTGAGTTTCTGTAGTGGTGTTCATAGGTTTCCTGCCTCTTGCTTTACTAAGCCAAGAGACAGCCTCTCTGACCCACTGTTTCCCCTGATCAGCAGACTTATTTGTGTAAGGGTTATCTACTGTCTGTGAAAGATAGATGCTACTTACACCTTTGTTCGTGACATGGCATACACCACAAGCAGCTGAAATCCCTTCTGTTCTACGTAGAACAGCTTCTGTTCCTGATCGGAGATTAAATATTACTACCTTTTGTTTGAAGCTTACCTTGTACATGTTCTTGAATCGAATAACTTGCATTTTAAATCTCTCATAGGAACTGATCTGTGGTGAATACTCTCAACAGCAAACAGCAAAGCTGTAGGCAAGCTCAAGACTCTGCAATATAATGTCATCACATTAACTGTAAAACTTGCCTCTTTATGTAAATCAGCATGCTAATAAATGTAATTTCTGTTAAACAAATCAATGTCTGGAAAGCGTTGTTCCTCTTGAAACAAAAAGTACTCCGTTTTGCAGAGACATTTATCTTTCACTTGTGTTCAACTAGAAGACTCTTTTTGTCACAGTCTCCCGCTCAGTAACAACATATGTCTATTTTTAAGGCAAATCTCTCATTGGATTTCATGCTGATATTTCGGGTACATCAGTGAGTGAGAGATTTAATTGTTGTTTAAAACTTTTCTGTCTACTTCATTTTAATGATTTTGGAAAAAAGTTTTCTTCACTAAAACCTATGTCAACAGAGAGCGTAAGCATATAATTTCGATAATTAAAAAGACCTCTGTCAGTTCTCTCTGCTGGAAGTGGTGCGCTGTTGGCTTTAAAATTCTCTGTCATCACAGTGTGCATCTTCCACTTAGAACAAAACTAACAGTGAGAATCAATTTGATGAGGCTTAGCGTTAAGGCTAATCTGGAAGCAGGATACTTCGCCACGGATGTGCTGCACGGGAGCTAATCGCCTCCAGAGCCCTCTGGAACACCGAGCGGTGAATCGGGAGCTGGAGACCTGGCTTCCTCCGCCAGGTGGGGAAGGAGGCGCAGAAATCCCTGGGCTGTACTCCGATCGCTCGAGTATTGGTTGTCCTCCTTGTTACCGCTTCGTCACTTTACTGGGGGGGAGAGGGACACGCATT